AGCTTAAGATTCAGAAGCCAAAACTCTTGAGGTAGGCTTAGTTATACTTAGTTGTACATGACCTGGCAAGAATCTTATAAGCTAGGGATATCCAAGGTAGTTTAGTGCCATTTGATATTGGGGGAGGGCAACCATTAACAACTGGGCAATCAGTTACTATTTGCTGAGCCCATGTTGCAAATAACACCTTTTGATTCTGCCTTCTCCGGCTGTACGCATCTCTCCTACTGTTCCTGCCACTTCTTAGTAAATTCTCTGCCCAGTAGCTGGTGACTATCTTCACCCAGCTGAATCCCGAAGACCTGTGAGCCATCTTACATACTGATGAGAAGCAGATTGCTTCCCTCCAACTTACTTTTAGTTCTCATAATGTGACTACTTGTGTTGGTGCTGAACAGAGCCCCAAGCCTGGTGAGATAGCACCTCTGACAGTTTTTGCAGTAGCGGCCATCACTGAATACATTTCAAGTGATTAATTTTCTTAAAAATAAAAATAAACCTAGTGAGTGCACATGTGCTAACAAGTTAAAAATAATAATAGGTGTCTGTGACCATGCTGCTTCTGTCTGAATCCTTCAGGGGAATTCAGTTGCTAAGAACAACTTACGCAGCTTGCCATATTTCTATGTGTTAAACAACAACCAAATAACTATAGGCAAAAGTCCCAGCTGTCAAGCATGAGGAGTGTAGGGGCTGATTGGGGGAGTACAAGGCATTTGTCTCCTGTGTTATATATGCATATTAGATAATTTAAAAGGAAAATGAAGTGAGGCAAGGACAGAGTGGGAAGCATGCTACCGTCTCTTCAAAATATCATGCTCTGTTCTTTACATAATGCCCCTAAGAGTGCTTTACAGCATACTCTGTCCAAGGAGTGCCCTACCAGCTCTTCCAGATAACAAGAAGGCTGAACTTTGTTCAGCTGCCTATATAGGATTTCTCTTCTGGGCAGGTCTCAGAGGAACTGGAGGCAAGTGTTAGAAGTAGCATCCATGACTGCTGACTCATTCCACTGAAACAACATTTGGGCCTCACTTTTCGATCTTGTCAGTCTAGGCTCTTTTTATGAGATGTTTTGTTTCAAACCGCCACTGATCATTATTGATCTGTAAGACAGAGGAAAGAAAAGCCACCTTTTTTGTGTGCTTTTTCACACACAAATAAAGACTGAAAAAGTTATTTAGGCTTTTAACAAAAGTCTTTTGATTTTTCATTACTTTTCTTTATTTCCAAGGTCTTACATAAACCTTATCCTCGATTGAAACCTGACACACAAGCTATGAGCTCAGAGCTTTGGTTTCTAAGATACATATTGGAAAATCTGAAGAAGACACCTCCCTCCCCCCATTCCCAGGGTTCATACATGCTATACATGACACCCCTAGTGATTTTACTGGTGGTCTTGTAAGGAAAGGATGCTGAGAACAAAATAATCATCATGATTAGGAGAGGGCACCTTTTCTTCATTTCCTCAAACTTATACTCGTGGCATAGGAAATATTGTTTTGCCATTTTGAGAGTTTCTCTCTATGTATGTATCTCTCTATCAATAAACATAGAACAAATAGAACAATTTCTAAGATCTGAAGTGGATAAAATTTGAAATTTTGAAGCTGAAATGCAACGAAGGTCAGTATAACTAGCAAGGCACAGACGCAAGAGAATGCTGAGGATACAGGGGGTCAGTGATCTGCAGACTTACAGTTATCCACATAGGACTTCAAAAAAATTGTGTTAACAGCATCTGTACTGTCTCTTGACTCTGTATAATTTAGGCAGGCATTTGAATGTGGTAGAGGTTTTACTGCCTATCAAGATATTGATTCGGAAACTGAAAATTCTCTTTGTGGACCTTAACACAATGCTCTTTAAAAGCTCATGAAGCATCACACACTCTGTCGATATTTCATGTTTTATTAATTCCCTACTTAGCCAGTTCTTTGACTGGTTAAATTTAGTGTCTGTAAACCTCCTAGTTGTATATGTACCTGAAAAGGCTCAAAAGAGCTATTTCAGGCTGATGGATAAACATGTGCTTAGAGAATTCCTAATATGGATTTTGCATAATACACACACTGAAAAAAAGTTAGTTAAACAAATAATAAGGGATAGGCATAAACAAAGCATCATTGTGAAAACCTGTACAATTATATGTGTATGCTGTTAATTAATTATGGCCTTATATGTAAAGGATGTTCTTATCTCATAATTAATTTTCTCTCAATGTGCCTAGCTCTGCATATCTACAGCAATAGAACCATTTATTTCATTATCAGTTCTTAACTGATGTTAATTGATGATCATCACATGATACAGTTTCAGTCACTTCCACATCTTACCAAAATGACCATTATATAGGAAGCAAACTACTTCAGAACTAGAATCGATGAGCATATAAAATCTTTGGCTATGAGCTTCTAGCATACGATCTGATTTTAGAAGGTGATTGTAGACATTCCGTCTGATTCATTCCTCATAAATCCACCAATAAGCATTTGGAGATATAAGGCAAAACACCGAGTATCTTCTTATAAATTGATCATCCCTTTAGTGCACTGCAGAAGAGAATAATTTCCAGTTGGAAAAAAGCGTGATAGTGCACTTAAAGATTATTATGCATGTGCACAAGGGATGTTGCTTACACAGCTGATTTTGAGTGTGTGCTGGTTTTGGCTGGGGTGGAGTTCATTTTCTTTATAGCAGCTGGTATGGGACTGTGTTTTGGGGTTGTGCTGGAAACTGTGTTGGTAATACGAAGTTGTTTTTGTTATTGCTGAGCAGGGCTTACACAGAGTCAAGGCCTTCCCTGCTTCTCACCCCACCCCACCAGTAAGGAGGCTGGGGGGACACAAGAATTTGGGAGGGGAACACAGCTGGGACAGCTGACCCCAATGACCCAAGGGATATCCCATGCCGTATAACGTCATGCTCAGCATACAAAGCTGGGGGAAGAAGAAGGAAGGGGGAGACACTCAGAGTGATGGCGTTTGTCTTCCCAAGTCACTGTGACAAGTGATGGAGCCCTGCTTTCCTGGAGATGGCTGAACACCTGCCTGCCCGTGGGAAGTGGGGAATGTATTCCTCCTTTTGCTTTGCTTGCGTGCACGGCTTTTGCTTTACCTATTAAACTGTCTTTGTCTCAACCCACGAGTTTTCTCCATTACTCTTCTGATTTTCTTCCCCATCTCACCAGGGGAGCAAGAGGCTGCATGGTGCTTAGCTGCTGGCTGGGGTTAAACCACAATAGAGTGGTTTTGAGTGATTGACTTGGAAATTATAACCTTTTCTTGTTCTTGTTTTTATAGAATCCTTTAGTATATACATACAATGTATATATAATAATAATGCTTTTATTAATGTTGAGGAAATGTGGAGGCTAAGAAAGAAAGTACACAAAGACATGTAAAATCAAACCTATTGCATAAGTATTACATACTATCACCACAGAACAGTGTTTTAAGCAGAAAGATTTCCAAATTTCACTTTCATCATAATATCATTCATAGTGTTTCATCTAGAAATTCTTATGGTGGAAGCAAATACCTAAGTAGATGTGTTTAGACCAATAAATTGTGCTTGAAATGAGGCATATGTTTTAGAAAGCCACCTTCTGCCTATTTAAAGATTTCAAACAGTGATTACCAATTTCCATAGGTAAACTGGTCTACAGACAAACCACTCTACAGTTAAGAATGCAGATATCGTCCTATGTGAATGCACATAGGAATTCACCTAACTTCAACTTTCAGTCACGGCAGTTCGTCGCGCCTTTGTCTGACGTCCGATTGAAAACCCTCTTAATACCTTCTGTAAGTATAGATCAAGATACTTCTTTTCCTTCTCTTAAATTAGCTCTTTAAGTATCATGCAAAGGCATTTTAAGAACTCAGCTCCCAGAAACTCTCAAGTTTTTTTATTTTTTTCTTTTTTAATCCCTGTATAATTTTTCAGCATTTATAGAATTTTACAATAAATTTTAACACAGTGAAAGCATACAGAAGACATCGTAAGAGGAGTAACTCTTCAATTTACATATTTCTGAGCTGGAGCTCTAGACCTTGATACTTTTCTAGTAAAATTTTTAATAATACTCCCATTAAAAAAAAAAAAAAGGAGAGAGAAAGAAAAGCAAATCTTCTATCTGTAGAGCCATCTGTAAGTGATTTTGACTAATGAAAGCCAAAGAATATAAAACTTTAACTTATATTAATTTGCTTTTAGTGCTTACTTTAAATTCCCATAAAGTTCTACTGCACATTCAAATTCTCCATTCAGACACATACTGCATGTGCTTATTTGCACAACAGAACTTGGTGCTTTTCCCCACAACAATGTAATGCTGCTGGATGAAAAATACCTTTCTAACACAAACTGCTATGTTTCAGAGTAATTAAAAATCATTTTTAGGGTGGGATTGATATTAATTATGATTGATTTTGATTCACTTTACATTTGCTAAACTTGCTGTTAAATTAGAACAAAAATATGGAAGTGCAGTTGGTGTAAGTGCAGCTATTGGCACATAGATATTTTGAAAATGAAAGGAAAACAAAAATATTTCCAACAAAATTATTCCCTTTTCTGCCTTGCCTTGCATTTGTTGCATATTCCAGACTTCAGTCAATTTTGAATGGGAGTTCTGGGTGTGTCAGCTCTGTAGACTGGTTCTTCACAGGGAAATGTGACACATAGAAAGGAACTGAAAAAGATAATTCACCTTGGAAACTTTACCTGAGTTGTACAACTTGCCACTGTGTTCAATATATTTCAAAGGTATCCCATAATAGCTCGTAGTTCTTTACAAAGGTCACTGTAAAATCATATCCTGTATTACTACATATTTCAGAAAGTATTCCTTGTCTGCCAGCTGTTCAACTGAACTTTGCTAATGAAGGCAAAGTTTTCTAGGGTTATCACTCTGACCCTTAAACTGTATTATCTAGAAAACCATAAACCTTATAAAAAAAGATATGAAAAGGTTTATAAAACGTTCTTTTAGCAGATCCTGTTTCCAGTCTCACCTTTTGGTCTGAAGTTGGTTTTAAGCTCTTGCCACCATGCCTGCTGATTACAATGGGACATGGGAAATGGAAACGAATGAAAACTTTGAAGGCTATATGGTTGCTTTAGGTAAATGAAAAAATATTAACTATATAGAGATAAAGAGAAAATGTTTCAGTTATAAGTAAAATCCTTCTAAAAATTAATGAGATTAGTTCTGTAATGTGTATTGTGGGATAAGGATTTCTGCCAATCACATTAAAAATCAAGTAATTCTAATGTACTCATAATTACGATGATCTAAGTATATAAGCAAGAGAAGAATTGTAGCCAAATATAGTAGTCTTTATTTAGATAAATGAAAAAGCAGATACAGGTGGGAAAAAAAAAAACAAACCAACCACAACAAAAAAAACAGGTTTTCAGATAGAGAAGTTCTTTTTTATTCCTGGTATATACTTACTGTAACAGTCAAGCCACAACCTAGTTGGCTCTGTTAAAGAGGAATAGGATATTCTGTATCACTAGAGCAACAATAGTGTTTAGTACTTAATTAGTGCTTTGAACTAGTAGAAATTATATATACCAGTTGCATGGTAAAGGCAATAAAAGCTTTTAAAAGCATTTAAAGATAAATGGGCAGCTATTTCTGACAATTTTTGTAGGAGTCATGCCTACACAGCAAGGAGACTTAGGTCACAGGAATTCTTAAACAAATGTTTACATGGTTAACTAAGTTGAATTTCACTTGGCTACAACCATCGTTGATGGCAACAATATATGTGTACATGCAAAAAGAGATGTTCTGCTCTTTAGTCAACTTTCATTTACTACTTTGCTAGCTTCTTTGTCATTAGAGGCTTGATAGCTACAGTTTGTGTATCCATTTTATAGGATATTAAGCATATTCTTTGTAGATTCTAGAATACCAAAACACTGTTAACTGAATGCAAGCAATATCCTTGTTGGTTCTTGTCAAGATCAAGTTTGTGTTGTTTGTAGATTTACTTTTTCCCACACTGACAGACTCAATTGTTGTAATGACTGGAGATAATTTTATGAGAGAAATGTCCTCTTTTGCTGCAGCTGTTATTTTCAATATAAATTGCCTTTCAAGCATTTTTGTTCTCATAAAGGCATAAACTTTTTGCTCCGGGTCATTATGATTATGCAAGCAGCGTGCAGGAAATCCTTCCTGTACTTAGGTTAGCAGAGATGTAGATCTTTAATTTACTGAAAAGAAGAAATAATAGAAGACATCAATATTTCTCAAGAATTTCTTCAGTACACTCTGGATCGGTATTGAAAGAACAGTTATCACCTTTCCATCACTACAGTAATATAGCTGCATTCCAAAACCACCAAACAAATGGGAGTTAGACTTATACATGCATGAGAATTGTAATCTTTAGAATCGGGAATCTTCTCCCAGCTCTACTACATAACAGATGAAGGGCATAAAGGATCATGGTTTCCTTACCAGACCTGATGTCTACAAAACTGATCCAAGACAAGTAGTCATTAGAGTTGGCTAATTGAACCTAGACTGGGGGAGTCTGTCTGGCTCTGATTCATAAATTAGCATGTGGCAAAAATCAAACCTGTATTTTACTTTTATGCTTACAATTGATAGCCTTGAGGGACCCAACTGGGTCTATATACTTCTCATTCCCACACATCTCTGTTTTCTATTTAATGGTCATTGATTTCTATCTTCTGTTCAGCATTTGCTCTTCTTATTTCTCTGCCTTTCTACAGTAGCTGACACCACTGTAAGAGTGATGCTGATAAACAGGAGCTTTCTCAGGTTAAAGTACCTTGCACTTTTCATCAGAAGTCGAGATCAGACTTGTGGCTTCTTGTGCTTTGTTCAAAAGGTGTTGAGTCAAGTTAAAGAAGATCTAAAGAACTTGTTTGCTCAGGTTCCAAAATACTTACTTGTAAAGATGTAGATTATAAAAACAATTCAGTTGTTTAAAATCAGTGAGTACACTGTATAGCCATCTTTCACAAGCTAAGAAAATGTATTTGTTAGGAAGAAGGGTCTAACACATGGAAGGTAATCAGGTAATTAAATCTAACAATTTTCAAGTAATTCTCAATGTCTACACTGGTGACTGACTTAGGGATAACTAACACAAAATCCTTAACTGAGATGAAAAATTTGATGCTTTAATTGATTTTCTACTAGTTTTATTCTCAACTTAACCCTGATTTCTTTATCTGTTCAGATTGAAAGAGAAGAAATATTCATAAACACATAAAAATAAACTCTCGTCATTATTCAACAATAATTGAAAATAGTTGTAATTTCCTCAAAGCTTCAACTTTTTTAAGAGAGAAAGCCAAGTTTCACTATTCATAGTTCTTAGCCTTTGCATTTATAGAGAAAAGCTCAGTAACTTCAGGGAAGGCTGTAAATACTGTACACATACAACTGCAAGGTACCAAAAAATTAATTTTTAAAAAATGAGAATGGTTAAGCCAATATCATGAATTTCTGGAGAAAAATACATACTAATTAACATGATTTGAGTGCTGGGGTTTGACAGTTACACATAAAGAATAATTACTACTTTATATGCAACTGAAATGTGATTTCAGTATTAAATATTTCAACTGCAAGTGAGCCACAGGGCCTGTTGGTCTGGATGATACTTAAGTCAACTCCTCGTTGTCACAAATTGACTATTCCAGGCCATCTTCGTCTACCTCAGGCTTCTCTCACTGCCTGCCTCTGTTTCGGGTCTTACCTATAATTCTTGCCTCTAGGTCAATTCTCTCTGCTTTGGCTCTGCTTCAGTCCTGTCTCAGTTCTTTGCTCCAAGACCTGACCTACTTTTGCAGGGTGTTACTCTAACCAGCAGTCACGATGGTCATCCTGCTCTAGTTCTGCCTTGCTTTGTAGTGATAAATTTCACCGTATTTGATAACTCTCTTTTGATAATTATCTTGATAAAGATCTTTTTACTTTTTAGGTTTATTCCTTCCTCCTTTTTTAGGATGCAAATTAAACACTTGTGGTGTGCATATTTCCTTTCCAAAAGGATTTGTAATTATGGTGATAGTTTTTCACAGTGTAGTGGCCGTCTCATTATTGTTCCTTTCTTCCCTTCCAGGCTATCATCGGATGAGATTCTTGTACTGTTTATTTCAGTTAATCTATAAAATTTCACTTAAAATTCAGGAAAAATGTCGGGGAAAAGGATACCAGCAGCTAATAACATGCCTTTTGTTGAATTTTAATTTACCCACTGTAGATTTAAACTGTGATTTTCACTCAAATTCTATAAGAATTTAGTGTCTAACTGTCATAATACAAATATTAATTATATCAGCTTTAAACTAAACTTTAATTATTATCATCCTTATACTCTGATCATTTTATAACAAGTAATCCATTTTCCAATTTTATAACTCTTTTTGTACCATAAATGCTTGCCTGAGCTGGCCTACCGCAGTTCCTCATTGCATCTCAGTGGCATCCTTAAAACCATTTCAGTCAGTGGATAAATTATGACTTTGTTATTATTAAATCAAGTGGATTTTTGACCCCTTTCTGATCTTATCTATCCCAATGGAAACTGGGAGAAAAATGGATGGATTCAGCCTACAGTGGGGTCTGGACTACAGGCATCCAATACTGGGAAGTCTCCTTAAAAAAAGATAGTAAAACGTCATGAGAATAAAAGAACTTGACCCACTCAACAGCCTGAAACAAAGCAATAGGAAGAATGTGTTAGAATAAGGAATGCAATATAGATGTATTTTTTGTGGAAATACTTTGATTCGTTGCCTACCCTGGGCAGATTGTACTGGAGAGGTACTCACAACTTTCTGATAAAACTTTCAAGCCACTTTCCCAGTAAGAATGCCAGCAACTGATTGGGATGAAGGAGCTATTTGCACCGGTTCTCTGGATCTGGGCCTTCATAAGTACATCATGATTTTTTGGGTATACATGCATATATATGCTGTAAGTTATACTAATTAAAAATGCCAATGAATTAGCAAAAAGAACCAACACCAAAAACAATGTAAATATGCATATGGCTATAGGTGATTCTCAGAATGGAAAGAAATTATATCGAAAGAGTGAAAAGATATTTTTCTGCTCTGTTTCTCACAATTTTACATGTGGTTGATATTTTAAGTATTAAAGTGCTCAAGTTCAAAGCACACTGAGGTTTTGGTTTTTTAAAATTCACCCATCCTTTTAATTAATGCATATACATTTCTACACTTTAATTAAAGAATAGTTTTGCCCTTTAAGCCAGAAACTTTGATTTTATCATAAACATGTTACAAAGTATTTTAATCTACTATAATAAAACAATATATCATTTTTATTGCTTGTATTGTTCAAAATGCAGTTATGAAAACCATGCTTTAATAAAACCTCCTCTGTTTTTTCTCCAGGAGCTACAAGACTAATATATTAGTCAGAAATAGCATTTCTTTAGAAGTCTAGACTTTTTTTTTCCTCAGAGAGAACTAAATTTTATGTTATCTGGCTATAAATCAGACCCAGAGATACCTTTAATCCACCACAGCAGATAAAATATACCCAAGAAGTCTTGAATATAAATACTGAACAAGAACATTATTCCCCATGATAAAAAGTCACAATTTTTTTCAAGCCAATCCTCTTACTCAACTCGATTAGTATTTCACAAGTAGTATAATGAATCTACCAAATGAAAAAGGGCTCCATTAGTATGTGGCATTGCTGAGCTGACAATGATTAACTCGCACGCGAAACCACTAAAGGAGGGCTAACAAACCAAAATCATTTTTCAGTCTCTTGCAGAAGCATGTGAGATTATTTCATTTGCATAGAGCACCATAATAGGATTCACTGCCAGCTGGTCAGAAATATTTATTGCAGATGGTAATGCAGCTGGCATTAGGTGGATTGTCTGGGGCAAATTGTCAGCAAGGTAATATATATTCTCCTTTTGGTAACTTTCAACACATTCAGTTGCAAGCAGTTGTTTACATTATAATGTTAGTCTTCATCATGAACAAAATTGGGATGTTAAGGAGATCAGCAATGCATAAAATGTTGACAGAATATTAAACAGGAACTGTCAAATGCTGTACTTTGATATTTTTTTGACTTTTGACTTTGAATTTGTCTCCCTTTAACATCTAAGCTACAATTTATTTGTGTGTCTGCTGTGTGCTGCTATCAATAAAAATAAGTCAGGCTTTTATTTGATTGTTTCTTTTTTATTCATTAGTATAATTTTCATTATTTTTAAATTAATTCATTAACCTCTTGTCTACTCGCACAGACTATAGGTTCGTCATAAAAATAACATGCCAAAATCCCCTTGATTACGTACTCATTCTAACACGCTTATTTTCTGAAATGGAATGTTATTCCGAGATCCTTCTTTTGGGGGCTGCCAATGTTTGGAACCCTGCAGGACAGAGGCCAGTACCCTCACATGCCTAAGAGCTACATGATTTACACTGCATGCTTAGACAAGGGAATGGCTCTGAGGCATAAGATGATAATAGCACTCCTGGCATACCACAGCTTCATGTGTGAGTGAGGCCAAAACAGCAATGTCACTCTTAATAGCCCCTGTTGTTTCACGTTCTCAAAAAAAATGGAGATTCGGGTGATTTAACATGACAGCATCTATTCATTACTGGTTGTATGTTGTACATTCCCACAGAAATCCTGTTAATAAATAAATTTATAATCAGTGTAAGGTCCTCAAATTGAAAGTGTACTTACAAATTTAGGATTTTTTTTTTTAAAATGATCTTCTTCTGTGCAAAATGTTGCAGGTAAAAGCATCATTTGTGGAATTATGTTCACACAAATTTTTTTTTTAATTATGTGTAAATATAAGCACTGGGTTTTTTTATTTTTGGTAAGAAATACTGGAATTTTCATTGTGATAGTCTCTTTTCTGTTTTTTGGCAGATATCGATTTTGCAACTCGTAAGATTGCAAAACACTTGAAACAAACAAAGGAAATTATTCAAGATGGAGATAATTTTAAAACAAAAACACTCAGTACTTTCAGAAACTATGAACTGAATTACACTGTGGGAGTGGAGTTTGAAGAACATACCAAAGGACTGGATAACCGAGTGGTAAAGGTAAAAATTTGGTACTTGATATCTGTTTACACTACAGTCAGCAGCAGGAGTGAGCAGTTCCAAAAAGCAGCTGAATATATGAAAAAAAAACCCACAATATTTTACAGACATCAGAGGATTTTCATAAAGCAGAAATAATTTGCATCTTGAGACAGTTTTCTTTCCTGCTACAAGCATTTATTATAAATGCAAATCAGGTTGGCTACTCACATACGTGAGGACAATCATTAATTACATGTTTGTCTAGTAGAGGATTTTTCCGGCTTTTCTATGATACACCTTTATGTATTTAGAAAGTAGCAAAACTGTATTTATACCTTTGTACCTTCCTTAATGAAACTGTAAATTAATCCCTTTGAATTTAGGAATTTCTCTGTGTCAGTACAAATTTTCAGCTCTGAATGGCTAGGTTCACGCTGTGTTTTTAATAAGAGTCTCCTCAGCCTCAGTTGGACAGTTTAACAGTTGGACAATGTTAAAAATACACCTGCACTCAGCTATTAACCTTAAGGGAGCTGTGGGAAGGGACAAGAAAAAATGTGAGCCAAAGCTACCACTGATAGGGGTGGCAGGCCTACTGATATTGGGCAAGGAGGCCCAGCCGTGCATGATCTTCAGGATTACAGGAGTAACCTGAGCTCAAGATTCCCCTAGGAAACTGTAGGCATATGTTCAGACACCTTTCAGTGAGATATGTGGACAAGTAACACTTGGATTAAGGACCATATTGTGTATTAGCTTATGCCCTACCTCCTCTGACAGACAGTGTCAACTAATAAGTCTGTTCCTGTGAGGCATTCAAACAAGACTGTATCAGGGAAGTCAGTGAAGAGAAGAATACATATGAGCACTAATTAAATTCACTCACTGAATTCAGCTTCATGTTTCTGTATCAATATTGCTTCCATTTTACTCTCCTCTCACCTGTAAAATACTTAAGCAGGATTTTCAAAGGTAGAAAGGGCAGTAGATCTTAAAATTTCCATTGACTGTCCCCTTCAGAGTCTTGCCAGCCTTGCACCACCTGCCTGTCTTTGTCATCATTCACTGAATCTACCCGTATCAACTCTTCTGCCAGTTGCCACACTTTTATTGTGCCACTCAGCTCTCAGCTCTCTTGCTCTTCTCTAAACATATGCTGTCTCTTCCATCAGTATCTTCTTCAATAAACAAGGTTTCAGAACTTGTTGCCAAACTCTGAGAAGCTGAGATCAATGCTCACTGTCAACAAGACCTGTTTAGTTTTGGCAATTGCCACAGGAAATTGGCAGCACAGAGGACATGTTTACATTTGAACTCTCATCATCTTTCACTGGAGCAGCACAAATTTAAAAGACAACATTTTTTATTCACTATGGATCACTATGTTTCATTCTCAAACTAACTTTGTGCAGTGTCATTCCTATGACTTCTTCCAAATTATTTCTCATTCACAGCACTGCAAGCCACCAAATAAGACGACCCTTTTTTTTTCCAGTATCCTGAATACCCCTATCTCTAAATTTTCTTCCTATCACTTTCTCCAGTGAGCACTGGGTGGGACATATTCCTGTGACAGAGTTTATGCTTTAAAAGATTGCTCCCACATCTCTTTAGATCAGTTGAAGGTATTACTAAGGATTTAAGGACCCATTAGTTGCATCACTCCTTAAACCCATGGACTAATGCTCCTCTAGTGCTCTTCACTATCAAAACCATTGCCTTTCTGTGTAAAATCATTTCACTTGCAGACTCTCCTCTTCATTATCAATTACTTGGAAGGAAGGAAGGAAGGCAGGAAACACAGCTTGTACAATTATAACCTGGTTTAACCTTTTTTGCCTAATATTCTTTTCTAAGCAAATTATATTATTTGTTTCTAACAAGAGGAGAAGGAAAAAGGAAGCATGTCATGCCATTATTCTCTGGACTGCTCTAAAAGAATTCTCTGGTCATTTTATGAACAAAACAATGCCTCAAAGACATTGAAGTTAGATGAAGGTAGTAAAACTGCTAGGCAACATTTAAATATAAAGAGGGCATGGATAATTTAAAAAGTATGTAGCTTTGAATTCCACAAATAAGAAAGAAGTTAACTGAAATCGAATGAGTTTTGTCTCGTTATTAATAGAAAGCTTCCTCATAAGATAAATAAATCATCCAGTGCTGAACTAGAAAATGAATTAAGCTCCCAGTACTCTTGGAGCTTTTTAATAACTGAACCTCCGCTGACTCTAACTGGTCCCTGATGAGGATTTGCCTATGATACATAGTTAAATGTCTCCCTAAAGTACAATGGTTCAAATCTAGAACAATTCAAAATTGCTTTGCATGTACTCTAGCATATCTGAGTAGAGAATCCAGCCTGTAAAGAGAACTTTTCCTTACAGATATGGTTATCCTGCTCCTGGACAAGAATCAGCATACTTAGTATCCTGTTTATTAGTGATGGACTCTGACTCACACCAAATCATGAAATGGATGAGGATAGAAGGGACCTCTTGTGATTCCCTAGTCCAACCCCTCTGCTCAAGCAGGGTCAGCTTGAGCACATTGTCCAGCTTATGGTTATATCTCTTCAAAGGTTTTTTGTGAAAGTGCATGAAAATATAGAAATACATTTATTGTATGAGATTATAGTAACATACACTTCCTCCTGTCATTTTATACAGAGCTAGAAAAGATATTAGCACTGCACTAGCTGGTATAAGCCCCCAGGTCTTCACTCATGAAGCCTTATAATCTTTTTATTAATGGCTTTAAACAGCAACAGAAGAAAAATAGAATTTGCATACATTGCACAAGTATCTGTTAATTCACTCAGCAATTCACTAGTTAGTATGAACACTTTATATTTGCGTATGTGAAGAAATACATGGAAATGACAACAAAGCACTGCAAGAGCTTCATATCAAAACGCTGTTGTCATCTTGAATGCATTCGGGTTTTGGCTGAATGGTTGTTTTGGGGTTTTTTAGGAGGAAGGTGGGGAATGGTAGGAAGCAACTGTAATTGTGTCTTCTCATTGTTTGATTGAGCTTATTTTCATGTATTCATAAACTTCTTGTTAACATATCTGAGTTAATTATCTGATTCATGCAGACACTAGTGACCTGGGATGGTGACAAACTGGTATGTGTTCAGAAAGGTGAAAAGAAAAACAGGGGCTGGAAGCACTGGATTGAAGGAGACCTACTGCATCTGGTAAGGGCTGCTATACAGATACACAGCACATAACTGAGACTGCAACAAAATACAGGTTTCCATTTCAAAGGGTTTGTTACTTGTTCTAGTCAGAATGGTCCTTGTTTAGATAAGACAGCTCTGACCTCTGAACTCTAAGGAAATCCCACCTCTGCTACAACTCAGGAATGCTCAGTTTCTTTCCATCTGCTCCCAATTAAGTCATAACCCTGCACTGGTTTCTTTGCTCCAGTGCACTGCCCTCCAGCTATTAACCCTTCTTGTTACATTGCACCTCTAACATCATCTCGTTCTTATATAATCACCATTAGGGAAAAAGAAAAAAAAAACAACCAAACATTATGGGATAGATTGCAAGAAAAATGTTATCTTTTGTTCTGAAAGAAGCACTATGAAATTTTGGCATACAATGCTGTAATACAGATCAGAAACCTCTGGTATTCAAGAGGATCCTGCAAACAACCTGCACTGCAATTATTTTGTGCTAGTACAATAAAAAAGTCAAAACATTCATACATCTGAGTTAGTAAGCTGGAGCCCAAAGATAAATGAGGTGAGTCCAAGAGAGGTCAGAAGAGCCTGTGCAGGAAATAAGCAGTCAGTGAAGTCCAGAAAGATTTCAAAATAATAGATACATAAGGATAATGAGTCCAGAGTTTCTTGGGAGAGCAATCAAGAAACGGGCATGATAATGTTGGATGGTGCAAATAGGTGGGTGCAGAAAGATTATGGAGGAGAGCTTATTGCTCTATCTCATGATTTGCATCTAGATATCTACTCCTTCCCAAGTTTACCCTAGAGACAGTAGGTATGGCCAACCACATTGCCTCAAGTCTGTATGCTTGAAAGGTCAGAGCAATGAATTCAAACCCACTATCTGCCACATAACTAAAAGCCAACTGTCCAGTACACTTTTTCAGCTCTATTTTAACATGTATTCAAGAATTGGCCTAACAAAGGTTCTACATGCTGGCCCCAGGATTCAGGCTAAGACTAGTAGAGAGACCAAATAGATTCTTACAACAGTCTTCAGAAACTCTATTGCAGGTTTGGCCAACTGCTGGCCAAAAAGTCAACTTCGTCTCACTTCAAAGTCTTATTTGGCACAGGAATGCTGGCTAATCAGAAGACTAACCAAAGTGACTGCATTGCAATGTGCCGGTGTGCCAATGTTTAAGAGGTCAGCTGCAACACTGGGCAAAAATGGTGTGCTGTTCTGGCCCCTGAAAAATGGCTGGGCGCATCTCTGAAATGAATATCCTCATCTTTTTAAAGCATCCTCCATTTTTTTTTATTTCCTTGTTTCATTGCTTCTAATGAATTATGAGGTAACATGTGAATTACAAACTATTACTGTATATTGTTTTAATAACAAAGCATGAAAAAGCCTTACATTAAAGAGCAATTTTTATGCATTTTTCATGTTTATTCTTCTTAGACCTCAATTCAAGTGTCAAAATCTAATTACTGCAACATGTGGTGCTTGCTTGCTGTCTGGTTACATATAACATGCTACTCTTTCTGTTCTCTTTTTCATAAGCATATCTTTTTAATGTAGTGGTTCAGTGGTAGTAATTTCTGGTCAGATCTGCTGTGTATGCAAAATACAACTTGTACCACTATATACTTACTAATTGTTTTAATACTGTAGGAACTGACATGTGAAGACCAGGTGTGCCATCAGATATTTAAGAAGAAAAACTAAAATTGACCAGAAAGCCACCTAGATCTTCATCATACTATTATGCTTCATGTTTTGTCTAAAAAGAAGAACCAAGACAGAATTGCAATAATTCTTTGACAGTGCTATGTGAAGGTATTTTGTGCCTGTTTATGGAAAAATATACATTTTATAGAAATAACATCAAACAGTTACAAACATCATAAATTCCTTTGCCTTTCAGTCTGGAGTTAAATAAAAGTAATTATCTTTCACATAATGCTTTCCTATATCTTTGTAATCATTTCTGAAGGAATGCGCTTTAGCAACAAGGCTGAAAATTAACAGTTACAATTATCTCAACCACAGTATATCTCTCCACAGTGCTGTAATATCATAATGTGTTTGGATGACTGAGTAAAATTGGACATTCATTGGACTGTTTCTATTTAATTTAGTCCTGGATCACTAAGTCCACAGATTCAGGCAACAGAACAGCTCACTGAACACGATACACAGCCTTCCACATCTAAGTTATTCATCTGAATTTGGCCCAGGTCTGTGGCTGCTAGGAGTTATCACCTGATAAATGTCTCACAGCCAACATGAAATGCTGTAGCTCCTTAATACAGTCCTAACATGGATCATTGAAAATGCTGCTAACCTCCAGTTAGAACTGGCATCCTACTAATAATCCCAGTAGAGAAATCCGTTATTTGAAGCAAACTACATTCAAGAGTCGCTCTTGATAAATAAATAAATAAATAAATGAGAAAACTAAGGCATAGTTATGGCTGTAAGAGGAAAACCGCAGAGTATACACAGACTGCATGTACCCTCTGCATAAAGAGTACGCAGCATGCTGCAATCTTCACCTTGTACCTACATTTCAGGGACTTCAAAAAGAAAAGTCATTTCCATACAACTCTTCTCAGTTTTATTTAGGGTTTTTCAAAAGAATTCATGTTCTTGCTAAAGGCAAGTTTAAGTTAACCATGGCTGGTGAGCACTGCTTCAGTAGATGGAAACTGAAATTATTCAACAAAATGTGTGCACAAGTTCCACAGAACCAAAGAAGGGTTTGTACGCTCAAAATCTCATCTGTTTTTTCCCAACTATACGAATCATTCTAATAAAATATACTGTCACTCCTACAACCTGGCCTTGCCAATATATAAACTTTCACATAAACTTTATCACCTTTTCAATTCCCTCTTGTCCATAGGCCCCCATCTTCTGTTTAGTATGGGAGGCATGGAAATTCTCTAAACAGATCAGTGGTAGGGAATTACAGATGTGGAAAAAAGCTTTGCAGAAATGGAGGAACATACGCTTTCTCCCCATCCCCACCTGCTGCTTAGCCTACTCACTGTCAATAACTCAGGATAGCAAACGGCACAGAGAATCTCCCAGCTGAAAACAAGGTTACATCTGCAAAAAAACCAAATCTGATTAATATGTCACTAATACATGGCCATGGGCATCTAAGTGCCTATGTAGGGATATTTTTATGAATTGGATTTTGATTCTCCTGATAAAAGTTGACCTGGTATCAAACTTCCTGTGCACTTCAACTGAGCAATGCTCTAATGTTAGTTCGCCTAGAGTTCATTGGAGTTGATAAACTCCTTATTTTTTCTTATTCAGCCTTGACCTGGACTTTCCAGTTGAAACATATTTAATTCCTATTTCTAAGTCTCTGCTAGTTACTAGGACAAGAAGTACCACAGTTCATTAAGTTCTCAAAATGTTATCAGAACAAAGTAATCACTAGGAAACAAAATGTGCATGTTTTAATCAGTGACATTTCTCACAGTTGGTTCTTGCCAGGAGTAAGTTTGCATAATGCAAAGTTTCATAACTTCACACCAAATCATAAAACAAAGGAAAACCTTTCATATATCTCAAAGAACTATCATTAATTCACAAATTATGAGTTTGAAGATGGAAAGCAAGCATTCTTCAATTGATTTCTTATTATGCTTACTAGTTTTATCTAATGGATATGGTTGGGAAGTAAATGAAGTAGGCAATTGGGCACTTGAGTAGACTTTGATTAAGAGAAAACTGGACCTGATCCTATTTTTTTGCCAACTTTGGAAATGAAAATTCCAGACTTTTTAACAGAAAGTGAGAAAATGTGCAAGGTTTTTTACACTCCAAAACAACATTTTCTTCCTGCACATACTGATATGCAAGAACTTGCAGCATCCTTTACAACTGTATGCACAGAACTGGAGACAGAGGAGATATTCATTGTGTTGCATTAAAATTACTTCCAAAGGTATACTTGTTTGTATCATATTTGTGCTGTTAAGTTGGTCTCTAAGCTGTACAAAGTCCCTTATCTCCTTGTCAGCAGATTAAATACTTGCACTGGAGGAACAGACCTCACTGGTAAATCAGAGAACATTCATTCACATTTTTTCAGCCCTCTGGCATGCAGTGCTGTCTCAGCTGTTTTGAAGGATTACGATTTGCATTGATTCTTTTCCTCACAGAGAACATTACTCAAATACAGATAACAGGAAGGGAATTTACCAGCAACCTTCTGATCCAGAAACCAGAAAAGCCTGTACTATAACAGAAGCACTTCCTAGAGAGTACAGTACTTGGCAAAGAGTCAGTACCATTACCAGTCACTGGACTTTTCAAATGACAATGACAAAGGTGTGTGTAAGAAATGTTTATGGTGGAATTTCTAAAAATCCTCTGCACTGAGCCGATTTTTTCTCCCTAAATGTCAACTAGCATTTTCTTATCAACTGTTACAAGAAGAAAGCAACAGTGTAGGCAAACACTGTAGAATAATGTTGCAAATGCTCCTATCAATAATGTTCTGTGGCTAGTTCCTAAGATGCTTTCTATTCAGTTCTGAAGGGTCACCTAGGTACTCTGTGCACAGAACGGCTTCCAAGTTTCCCATGAATATCCTACGCGCTCTGCTGATTTGCTGCTTGTGAAAGATGTCTACTCCACTGCCATCTGGCAAAAAGTCTGAGGTTTCTAAATCAGCATTTACTTCAAGATCTGATGAAGACAAATAAAATTTCTCCAAAAAAATAATTTAATTACATTTCTTTGTACTCTTTTTAAGCAAGGGTACATCTTTTGCCTTAGTGGGGAGAGATTAACAGAAAGGATTTGTTCAGAAGTTTTTTTCCCACTAGAACACATTCTTTTCAGGTTTAATTTGTGATTGATTTGAAGGGCAGAGGTTGCAGATATTTTAATTTCAGGTTACTGATTACACTTGTTACGCAGATGGTGAAGATTAGAAGAAATCATTTTGTGAAAATGGATTTTATATAAAATTAACCAGACAAGATTTTCAATAGCTGCAAAAATTTTGTCAGTTATTCTCTAAATATCACACTTGCTTTAATTATATCTCACACTGCAGTTCTTCAGTCATCATTAAATAGAAATGGGAATGCCATAGATGACAATACATATTTCAGAGTTCTTAGAGGTGGAGGAATCCATGGAAAGATTAGGAGCTTTGCTTTATGTGACAGCAAATAGAGACTCCACTTGGCATAAGAACACAAACGTGAAAGGCTGCTGCTGAAGAAATGCGGGCATACTATCATCCATACCCAAAGACAGGAAAAGAAAGAGAGGACAAGAACTAACAGACTGAAATTACAGCATGGAAACTTCAGGTGGACATTAGGCAACATCTCTGCACTCAAAAGATAATGTAGGACTGGAAGAGGCTGGCAGATGAGCTTGTGGAGTCTATAGTCCAACCATAGTACCTACTTTCTTCCATCAGCAAATCAAGCTGAGTCTTTTATTGTACCTGTAGTAATAGTTGACAAAAAGACTGGCAGGAAGATCTCAAAGATATACTTACTTATAGATACATACTTAAAGATAGATAGATAGATCGATAGATAGATAGACAGATAGATAAAGATATATACTTACAGTGTTTATGAAAAATAATGACCAAATAGAGTACCTGCAGTAAGAAAAAGGCTACAGCATAAACTCATGTTTACCAAGACCCAGAAACAAGCCTTAAGAACCACAGGAAATTCTCTTTACCTGTTTTCATGTTGTTATACTTTGGATTCATGCTGGTTTTAGTTTAGGTAACAGTCTGTCATAGAAAGGCTTTCTGAAAATCTGATAAACCCTTCACAAAGGCTTTTCATGTTAACTTAGTTTTTCTGTAAACTTAGTTATGACTTCAGAATTAAACCATGGCACGAAAGGTAAATAGGATATCTCCTTGTGAAAGCTGCAAAGGGCATTCCTTTGAACTGCCTTTAACATGTAGTGCCTTTTGCTGCTTTCCGTCACTGCACCCGAAGTCAAGCATTTTCCTATAGTTTCTTAATTGTTTTTTTTCTGTCACCTCTATTTCATTCACTTTTGGATTTATACATATGCATCTTTACATACACATTTGTTTACATTTGGGGGAGAGAGGGGTTTGGTAGCCTCATTTGTTCAGAAAATGAGGCATAGGTGTCCACAATATTTGTTCACCCACGCCCCCGCAGCTTTTGAACCAGTTGCCCAGCCAGTGTAGACTGGCCAACCAAATCTGACAAAGGATAAAGACTCTCTAAGATATAACATTTCTTCAATTTCATATGAAAATTAATAGCCAGATAGAATGCCTTCAGTAAAAGTCTGGCTACAGGGTGAACTCATGTTTCTCAAGTCCCAGAAAAATCATTTATGATAAAACAACGATAAATGCCTGTAAACATGGAAAACCTTCGACTGGAGTTCATACCTTGATGCCAATGAATTCAACCATAAGACAAAATCCATAGGAAGCCAAGCTTCAGTAGTTCTGCTGCTCACAGTAGTACTTGCTTTATTGACTACCTTATAATATTTAATATTTTTGCTACTTACTCAATTCTCTGATTTGTCTTTTTCTGCCTATCTATCTCTAGTATATGATCACTTGTTTTATCGAAATTTGCTCATCTCTTCCTACATGTGTGTA